TGTTTGCGGTGAGGGTCACAATTACAGAAGCATCTGGCGACCCTCTTCCTGATTGCCCATCCATGGTTCCCAACAGTCACAGGGTTGATCACCCAGATTGCCACAATCGGTGTTGCCGTATTTTGCATTAGCCTGCTGACTGATTACTGTGTATCCCTGCGGCACGGGAGCTCCATGCCTGAAATTGGGCGCCGGTTGCTGGACCTGGACCGAAGCACGAGCCGCATGACTTTGGGCTCCAGCGTAATGGTCTGCTTGGTAAGTTTGCCCCCCAGGAGCGACACGATGGTGCCTTGTCGGGTCTTTCAAGCCACGTGAAGAGTCCCAAAGGTTGTTCAAATATGCACTTCTGTGTTAATGTAAGGTCTAGCGAGGCTGGTGTGTTGAGGTCCTGCAACTGTTACCGCCTATGTGCGCATCGTTAGAGCGTATGCTCTGTGCAGTTGACGTTTCGTCCCGTTACAAGCCCGCATTGATTCGTTGTCTCCGGTGACCTCCGGCAGTTTCACCAGAACCAAGATGCGGGGATCCCTCATCACGAAGCTGAGATGGGCCTGAGCTGGAATGGCCGGCGAGCAGGGGAGACAACTTTGCGCCGCACGTTCTGCGAGCTTCACACCACTCGTCCTGGCAGCCTCCAGGCTTAACACCACACATCCTGCAAGCTTCACACCACACGTCCTGCGAGCTTCACACCACACATCCTGCAAGACAACATGTCGCACACCACGCGTCCTTCAAGCCGACTTTCCTTCACACCACACGTCCTGCAAGATTCACACCACGCCTCTGCAAGCCTTCATGCTTCACACCACTCGTCCTGCGAGCTTCACACCACACGTCCTGCGAGCCTGCATGCTTCACACCACTCGTCCTGGGAGCCAATTTTGCTTCACACCATACGTCCTGCGAGATTCACACCACACGTCCTGCAAGCGTACATGCTTCACACCACTCATCCTGCGAGTTTCACACCACACGTCCTGCGAGCCTGCATGCTTTACACCACGCGTCCTGAGAGCTTCACACCACTCGACCTGTGGTCAACCCTCGGTTTTCACCGGTTAGAATTCTCTCGCTCACTCAGCGACCACTGCTGCCGCAGTCCCATGCTCCAGTAACCAAGCAAAGGAAATGATCGAGGAGCGGCGGCAGGGAGAAACCCTCGGAAGGAATCAGAGGCTGTCGTGCAGCTTGCCTTCAGGGAGAAAAACCTCCGCAACCGGTCACCGTGATTGAATGGCGAACCCTCCAATTGCCGAATAGCTCCTTGACTTGGTGCATTCCAACGAGCCCGATGTTGGGCCCAGGGTAGTTCACCCAGTCGGCCAAGGCAATGATAATGCGGCGTCAAACATATCAGATGTCAAATCAAATCGTGATATCTGTATTTGTTTGTTTGCAATAGATTTTATACTCATGTGTTTGACAGCTAAGTGATTTAATTTGAGGGCAGCGCTGCAACTCACGACATTTGGGCCTGGTTTGGCGTGCCTGGGTGGCACGGACCCTGAGGTGAGGCGTGCCGAGCGAATCACGCCCTGCTTCAACGCCAACTGGTACAGTACAGTAGGGTTCTCAGTACTCAAGTTGATCACCCGGCCTCTCAAGACCGAATGACTCTAAGCGCAGCTTTGAGGCTCTCAACCTCTCGGGACAGAGAGGCGCGCCGCTGCTTCGACTCTTCGCCCTCGCCCGCGATCTCCTCTAACTGCTCGTCGGTAAGCCGCATCACCATGTCCGCGTCAAACACCTTGAGCGGACCTTCTGGGTCCGCCAAGAGGTAATGCCAGATGGCCTGCTGATAAACGACGTCGACAAAGCGCTTCCGCGCCACCTTGTAGTAGCTGGTGAACGTGTCGAGCACGTCTTCGCACACTTGTTCCTCGTTGTCCTTTGTCTCTGCGCCGTTGCGCAGCTGGTGGAGCGGGACGCATTCCAAGCTTGTGTCGTTGGTGCCATTGTAGTTGGTGCAATTGATAGCCAACTTCTCCATTGCGCGTGTAAAGCGATCACTGCGCTTCTTTTGCAAGATGTGGTTGAAGTAATGGTTGAATGTCGCCGGCTGCTTTCTCTCGATGCTGAGGAGGAAGCGCGCGTGCGACATCGCCTGTCGATATTGCTGCACCAGACGCTCCACGAGGAAACCCTGCCAGAGCTGCGAGCACACCTCTTCCTCGGGGCAAAGAGTTTCAAGCAAGACGTTGATGTAGTCATGCACCAGCACGATTGCTCTGCTCATGTGCAGCAATGTCAAGGGCTCCCACTTCTCAGACTATTGCAAGAACACAGAGGATAAGACGGTACCGCCAAACTGCGGCCAGTATTGGTCAGTATCTCCGTAAGGGCCGAGATCTGGAGCTCTCTTACCGTTCCAAGCTCAGGGCCTCGGCTGGCCTGATAGGTCTCTCGGATTTCGTCTATGATAGGTTTGTCGACGGGGTCTGGGCATTTGTACTCTTCGGTGACGATGATGTCCTGCAGTTCACTGTACGCTTCGAGATCAATCTCGAACGGTAGCGCACAAGTGCCTAACTCCTCAGCCTCGTCCAAAGCAGCATCGAACTTCTGCAAGTGGGAGCTTTGCGCAAAGACGTGAGAAAACGTTGTGTGAAGTCTCATGATCCTCGTTATCAACTTGAGCCTCGGGCTATCTTTGAAGATGTCGTTGCCGGCATAATGTCCGCTTAAGGCAGACGTCGTGATGGCCTGGAATCGTGTCGCGATCCTGCCGAGATAGAGCCTTTGGGCTCCATGGTCAGCTCGAGCAGGGCCCATGCCTTCCAAGGCCGTCTCAGCGCGACGCAGGCGTTGGTCAATATCCGCTTTGACATTAGGGAACTCTTCTTTTGAGATCCTCACGAGGAGATGCCGAAGGCGTTCCTTGAGAAAATACACACCACAGCGCTCAATAACGCCGACCCATTCCGGGCTACTGAAAAAAACCTTTTCGGCCTGTGTCCTCTGCGACAGCGTAGATGTGGCATCGTCGGCACTGCGTTTTTTTGACCACGTAATAACCGAACTGCAGGTTGCTTCCATCGCCACGAACAAGGTCCAGGACCGCACCTCGAGTAGCTTTTTCCAGGGCGAGATCAGGTTTGGTTAGAACTCCCATCGTTCGGATACCCTCGGGGTCGGCAGCCTTAGCAAGCTTGGGGATCTCTTGGGTGGCAATGTCCACATTGCAAGGCATGACGGCCAAAATGCTTGAAGGCGGTTAGCAAGAGAACCAGATGTCCCTGTCCTTGTTGCTCACATCGTTCGACTGTTGTCCATATAACGCTTGACCATGTTCTCAACAAGCTTAATGTCCATCTCTGTCGTCAGACCTACGTGCTGTCAGTCTCCGTTTCGAAGGGTTGTACGAAATAGGCAAGCTGAAAGCTTACCAGGTGTGGGTACAGGAAATATTCCAGGGACGTCAATGACGGTGAGGTGATCCTGCTGCCACGTCTGTTAGCAATTTTGAACGGGTTATGTTTATCGCGGGAAGACTCACGTCAGGCCCGTAAATCTCAATCTTGAGTATGTCCTCGCTAAATGCGCCAGCCCCAGAAGTGGAATCTTCCGAACCCATGCGGATGCCCATCGCCGCATTCGCCTGACTAGCATCAGCACGGCTGCGCGGGAATCCCCGACGGTAGGAGTAGGCTGACATCTTGGAATATTTTGGTAAGTTCATCATTACAAATCTCCGTGAGCTCGCGTCGAAAGGCCAGCAGCTTGGCCTTGAGCTCGTCGTCTGCATCCGGACGCGGGATTATGGAGACGGCCACGCTGGAGAGAGCATCCCGGCAGCAGGTGATCTGCGTCGCGTAGCGGGTGCACAGGCCCGTGCCACGCGGGAAAGAGAAGCCAGTCAGGCTTTCTAGAACCGAGCTCTTTCCAGACGACTGATCTCCAACTACAACGAGCTGCGGTCGCGTGAGCGTGGCGTCAAGTGGTCAATGGGATTTCACATACCTGAGGCAGAGGGATCATGGACCCAACATTCAGCTCCCGCAGCCTGTCAATCTTCGCCAGCATGGCTTGATATCCCGAGCCGCGCTCCATGGCAATCTCTTTCAAAGCGTACAGAAGTTATACAGTGAGATGGGTCGAGCGGCTTGATGATAAGAGTCGTTGCAGTTTGGGAGAACTAAATTGAACTGAAAGGGCAGGCAGGCCTGGCGAGCGGGGCCCGGCAGCCAGCACGTCTACCTCGTCTCTCCACCGAAGCTGCGAGATACGACCGGCCGCAGGCGGTCCGGTGGCTCCGTGCTCAGGTATCACCCCTTCCTCCCACCCGGTCTCTCACTCCGAGGAGAGGGAGGAGGTTACTAGTGATGCCACTGGCAGAACCCACGTAAGAAAGTGGACCAAGGGCCGGGGCTAAAGCGGGCCGTCCCGAGCAGTCGGGATTCGCTAGGCGTAAAAAGGCAGAGATTTGCGCACTTGCCCAGCGCATGGTCTAAATCTTACGATTTGGCCTCGACCAGGTCGAATAGTGCCACTCAGTCGAAAGGTAAGGCGGGCTCGCGTGTCCGTTCCCACCGGCGGCGAGGTTGGGGCCGTTGCAGGGCGGGGTTACAACCCTTTTTGGAAGTGTCCGAGCCGGCTTGCGAAACGCGATTGGCGCAATCACTCAGCCCTGGTCATGGTCGGCCCATGAGGCAGGGCCGTTACATCGGCCTGAAGCCCTCTGTTGCAAGGACCAGCAAGCCCCCCATGATGCGGGCAAATCTCAGCCCCGAAAGCCTGGTCCCTGGTCGTTCGAGGGCGGCCAGGGGCAAGATGAGTCCGTGGCGTCGTGCACCAGGATTGATTCTGCCCAGCCCAGGCACCCCATGTGTGACAGGTGGTCGCTCTCGGCTCGCGCTGAAGTCCAAGGCACCGCCATCCACCCCAGCTCACACGCGAGAATCGCGCATGCGTCTTCAAGCGCGCTGCTAGTGATGGACAATTGGTTAGACGCCTTCCGAGGCCAGAGATCTGCGGCAGGCCGCCTCTCGCTGTTCCGACTCCTCCATGAGCGTCTGCTTTGGCAGGGGCAGGGCATGTGACAGCGACAGTATCGTCAAACGACCGAAAGGTACGCTGGAGACCGCTAAGCGGCACCCCCAGCCGGTGCCTAGCCGCCGGGCGAGGGCGGGTAAGATTCAGCTGTGTGCCTCCGTGAGTGTCGGATACGCTTGCGGCGGGACCCCCACCCTGCCAGGTGAATTAGTGCCCACAACACTCATTGGCCCCACCGGCTACTGCGTTCCTCAATCTGCGTCGGTTCGATGTCCTCCCGGAAATCAGTTCACGTCTAGAGGCGGAGTTTACTGGACGAGCGATCGCCGGTAAACGGGGCCAGGGGAACATAAAAGGCGCGTGTCGATAATTAATTACTTGGATTGACCATTGAGGAGCGGCAGCCGTTAGAGAAACGGGCCCGACGAACTGTTGCTGGCCATGCCTACCTTTTTCAAGTAGACATGTTCATACGCTATCTCGGTAGATAAAACTGCACCCTTGAGCTCAGCTTCTGGCTAATGAAAAGGCAATTGATACGGGGACATGACACTTTGACTACGGGGGCATGACCCTTACGGGGGCATGACTTTGACGGCTAGAGAAGCCGCCTTGTCGACCCTGTCGCTGTCGTTTTCGAGGGCGCTGATCCGCTCGCGAAAATGAATCTTGCTGCAGCTGTCGAAGCAGCTGGGTGAGTAAGTCGGACGATGCACCCAAACGACGAAGTTGTGTGCCTTTCCAACAGGGCCTTTCCGCATCCACTCGTCATGCGTCGCTCTTGCCAACGACGCTCCCTTCACGAGAGACTTCTCAAAGGCATCTGCATCCTTCCCGAAAAGAAGAGATTTGGCAACAAGGTTGAGGATGTGGCCAATGCATCGGACGCGTCGTTGCACGGGGTTGAATTGGAGCTCCTCTGCAGTCTCTGTCATCGCCGTTTCATTCACAATTGCCTTCACAAGTGCCATCGCCGGTCTAACACTCCCTGACACAAAGCTCAGCCGCACCAACACATTGACATGGGTATCGGCCAGCTTCACACCTCGCCATCCAGTCAAGTCCCAAGCTGCATAAAGATTGGTTGCACGGACGTGGAGCTCGCGTTTCGTGCAGGCAATCGTTGCTCGTCAGCGCCACAGCCACACACCCCACAACATTGTGTCATTGGTCATCAAGCGTTCCGTGCCGCGCGTCCGTTCACCCTTGCATTGCCCCTGCCACAACGGCAGCCTCCGTGCCCTCCTGACAACCTGTATAAAGTTCCATGTCGAACCCACAATTCCGAGACCACAACCAGTAACCAGCTTAATTCCCGACAATCTGCAACCATGGCCCTCCAGAATGCAATGCAACATTTGCAGATTAGCGACGAGAACGTGACGGGCTTCCTGTTAGGTTTCGCACTGGCAGCACATGCAAGATATGAATGTACGGGCAGCAGGAGCGAAATCGATCTGGCGGTTCTCAGTGCGCAGACGGCTGTAAGACTGACCCAAGAAAATCATCCACACCGTGCAGCCAGGTTAATTGCACTCGGTGACATGCTGGAAAATCGATATGGCCGGACCGCAGCGGCGGGCGACCTGGAAGAAGCAATTGAGGTGACTCAACAAGCAGTCGCTGCGACACCAGATGATCATCCTCAACTCTTCACTATTTTGAATAACCTCGGACGCAAGCTTGCAAGTCGGTATGGCCGGACTGGAGCGATGGGCGATCTGGAGGAAGCAATTGGAGCGGCTCGGCATGCAGTCGCGGCCACGCCCGACGACCATCCCGACCGTTCAGCGTACTTAAATAGCCTGGTAAACATGCTTGGGGATCGGTATGATCTGACTGGAGCGTTGGGTGATCTTGACGAAGCGATTGGGGTGGCTCGACAAGCACTCATCTCTACGCCTGACGGCCACCCTGACTATGCAGCGTGCTTAAATAACCTGGGAAGCATGCTTGGGAATAGGTATGAACTGACTGAAGTGATGGGCGATCTGGAGGAAGCAATTGGAGTGGCTCGACAAGCAGTCGCGGCTACACCCAACGACCACCCCGACCTCCCAGCTGTATTGAATAATCTCGGACGGATGCTTGTCAGTCGGTATGGCAGGGCCGGAGCGATGGGCGATCTGGAGGAAGCAATTGGAGTGGCTCGACAAGCAGTCGCCGCCAGGCCTGACGATCGCAACTACGGCCGCCGGCTGAGGGACCTCGAAAACATACTTGTGAGTCGGCATGCTCGGACTAGAGTGATGGGCGATCTGGAGGAAGCAATTGGAGTGGCTCGACAAGCAGTCGCCAACATTCCCGATGATCACCCCGACAGTGCAGCGTCTTTGAGTATCCTCGGACGCATGCTTGAGAATCGGTATGATCGGACTGGAGCGATGGACGATCTGGATGAAGCAATTGGAGTGGCTCGACAAGCAGTCGCCAACATGCCCAATGATCACCCCGACAGTGCAGCATGTTTGAATATCCTCGGACGCATGCTTGAGAGTCGGTATGGTCGGATTGGAGCGATGGGCGATCTGGAGGAAGCAATTGGAGTGGCTCAACAAGCAGTCGCTGCCAAACCAGACGACCAACCGAACCGTGCAGCTTGGCTGAATAACCTTGGAGTCAGACTCAAAAGTCACTATGACCGGACTGGAGCGATCGGCAGCCTGGACGAGGCGATTGGGGTGGCTCGACAAGCAGTCGCCGCCACGCCAGAAGACCACACCGATCGCGCAGTGTGCTTGAACAACCTCGGAAACATGCTTTGCCGGCGGTATGAACGGACTGGAGCGATGGGTGATCTGGATGAAGCAATTGGCGTGGCTCGACAGGCGGTCGCCGCCACACCCGACGACCACCCCGACTGCGCAATGTGCGTAAATAATTTGGGAAGTATGCTTCGCCGTCGGTATGAACATACCGGAGTGATGGGCGATCTAGAGGAAGCAATTGGAATGGTTAGACAAGCAGCCGCCGTCACACCCGACAGCCAACCGAATCGCGCGGCCTGGCTGGATAACCTCGCAAGCATGCTTGGCGTTCGGTATGAACGGACTGGAGAGATGGACGACCTGGAGGAGGCAACTGGTGCGGCTCGACAAGCAGTCGCCGCCACGTCCGACAGCCACCCCGACCGCACACGCCGGCTAAATAACCTCGGAGGTACGCTTGCTCTTCGGCAAGAACGGACTGGAGCGATGCGGGATCTGGAAGAAGCGATTGGAGTGGCTCGACAAGCAGTCGCCGCCACGCCAGAAGACCACCCCGATCGCGCAGTGTGCATGAACAACCTCGGAAACATGCTCTGTCGTCTGCATGAAAGGGCTGGAGCGATGTGCGATCTGGAGGAAGCAATTGGAGTGACTCGAAAGGCCCTCGCCGCCACACCCGACGACCACCCTGACCGTGCAATGAGGTTAAACAGCCTCGGAAGAATGCTTTATATTCGATATAAATTGAGTGCAGTTAGGGATGACCTCGACGACGCCTGTACTTGTTTCCATGGCGCCTGGGCCATTCGCACAGCCACACCATTTCATCGTGTCCTGGCTGCTGCTCGGTGTATCAAGCTACTTGCCCTTCAAGGCAAGATTGAGGCCGCTACACAACTTGGGAAAGATGTCATTTACCTCCTCCCGTCGGTAAATACAAAATCTCTTGACCGCAGCGACCAACAGCACGTGGTATCGACCTTTGCTGGCATAGCCGCAGACCTATGCGCATTGCTCTTAACATCGAACCAAGTCGAGAGCGCTTTGCAGTACCTGGAACAAGGTCGAACGGTCATTCTGAGCCAGCTGATAGACAGCCGGAGCGACGTGTCCGATCTCGCAAAGAAACATCCGGAGCTCGCTCGCCGCTACGAGAAGCTCCGCGATGAAGTGAACACCCCCCTTCGCAGCCTGAAGCAGGATGCTGCAAGGGAGCGATCACTGCAACAGCGTCGCCAATCCAGCGTGGATTTAGATGCTTGCATAGGAAACATCAGAACCATTCTAGGCCATGAGCGATTCCTGCTCAGCCCAACGACAGCCGAGATACAAGAGTGCGCAAAAGGAGGT